CCCAGGGTCCTGGGATCGAGCCCCGCATCGGGCTCCCTGCTCCGCGGGAAGCCTGCTTCTCCCTCTCCCACTCCCCCTGCTTGTATCTCCTCTCTTGCTGTGTCTCTCTCTGTCAAATAAATAAATAAAATCTTTAAAAAAATAAAATATGCAATCACATCAAAACCTCATTTTAAAAGTCTCTCTGGAAGGTTAATACCTGGAGGTAAAGTGAGATCTAGCATGAGCTGTCTCGTAGTGGACAAGCGAACTGTGGAGGGCAGAGATTTTTATAACTTTAGCATCCCTCCATGGCAGGTATATCCAGAAAATGAAGCTCCTTGTTCATTTTTTTTCCTTTGACATTGAGTGGAGGTTATTTTTGCCAGTTGATGGTTCCAGCAGAAGTCATTAGCTTATATGACTGCAGGGAGATTGAAATGAAACTATAATGGAAGGTTTAAGAAAACAGTGCAGGAACTGTTTAGGTCCTGAAAATTGTGTTCTTATGAGGATCTTTACAGATGGCTCAGTTGGGGATGATAGGAGTGCATTTAATTTCACATTTTTATAGACATTAAAGCCAGTGGGTCTTACTTGGGAATAATCAAGAAAATTTGCCTTTACCCAGTGGTTATCAGAAGCCACTAAGCCAGTGATTTGGTTGCATTTAAGTTTCCTTGTGGTGTTTTAGGAGATTTCACGTGGATGAAAACCTAGCAAAGTTCTCTTCTGGAACATATTTATTTATTATTTAAAAAGTCTCACTCTTAGGAAAGATCAACATTCTTAGCCTGCATGTTTCCAAAGAATGTGAAAACCTTGTGGAAAAACCTGATGGTTGAAGTTTTATTTTGCCACCTTTGGCTGATTGTGGGGTAGCATGGGCCACCCTGAAGTGCACCTGCTTCTGTTCTCAGGGAGATTTTGTGGGGTTTTTTGTTTGTTTGTTTTTACTTCTCTTCTTTATCACTGGAAGATTATGAGGTAAGTGAACCGATATGCATCAGCTAACAAAATATCTCTTAGTAGATGCCGTATACCCCCTCCTCCCATTCATCAGACGGGGTACTGTTCTAGTACAGAGAGTTTGAAAAGCATAGTAGTCTGTGTCTAATTTAGGATGACAAGATCCAGATATGTCTGGGTTTTCTCAGTGAGAAAAGAGATACCTATCCAGCTTTGAAAAGAGGACTTCTTGATCAGTAGCCACCCTCGCCACCTTGCTTTCTCTTTTGCACAGGCCAGCAGTAACCTTTGGGCTAGAAGGCCCAGGGTGCACTGAGAACAGGGTGCTCATGTGCTGAGTCCCAGGATGGGGCCACCGTGGGACCGGCCCTTGGCACTTCAAAGAGGGAAGGCATTCCAGAAATCTACTCTGGATGCCATCTTATCAGCAATGAAGAGCTTTTTTATTTATTTATTTATTTATTTATTTTTTCAGGAATAATGTCATCTAGGTTGAGCACCAGCTTTTTTTTTTTCCTCCTAAAGATTTTATTTATCCATTTGACAGAGAGAGACACAGTGAGAGAGGGAACACAAGCAGGGGGAGTAGGAGAGGGAGAAGCAGGCTTCCCACGGAGCAGGGAGCCCAATGCAGGACTCGATCCCAGGACCCCGGGATCATGACCTGAGCCGAAGGCAGACGCTTAACGACTGAACCACCCAGGCACCCTGAGCACCAGCTTTTTGCCAAGTTTGGGTTTTAGCAGGGATCTGTTGGGAGGTGATGAAAATATGTGCAGTTCACCTATGATAAGAGCTTTTGGGAAAGAGCTGAACTAAAAGTTTCAGTCGTTTCAGAATGTCAGAGGCAGGGTGGCTCAAAGGGCACGGACTTATTTTTTAAAATGGCTCAAATACCTTAATGTATTTTCTTTCCTTTTCTTTTTTTGTCATCATCTGATAGAATGTTCATTGGAGAAGTAAGAATGTTTAATCATGAGTCTTGTAATAGTGCCTAGCACAAAGTGATGACTGGAAAACATTGACTGAATGAGCGAATGAGTGAATGAATGATACAGAATAGACTCACGTCCGTGTCTTTGCTCCTTTGTGTTCCCAGACAATAGCCCGGCAATTGGCGGAGATCTTGTTGCGGGGTATGTGTGAACAGAGCTACTGGAACCCTCTGGAGGACCCACCCTGCCAGTCACCTCTGGACGATCCTCTCCGGAAAGGAGCAAACACAAAAACCTACATCCTCACTCGGAAAGCCCGCGTCTACTCAGGAGAGAAGTACGCCCATTGTTGTCCTCATTTCTAGATTAGGGGATGAGAGGAAAACTTTGGAAAAACTCAAGGATGAGTAGAAGTTCAGGGGCAGATTCTTCCCCTAAAAGAGAACCAGACAGACAAGTCTCACTGGCCAATTTAATGGAGATACCGCATTACTTTTAGTAACTTCAGTGAATATCTATCTGTGCACCAGTGGGCACATTTTAAGTAGGAAAATTCTCTCCTCTCAGTGCTTGGCTACTATTCTTGGCCATCACTGTTGGTCTTTGGGATTCTCATTCTGTTTATAGTAAGAACCCCAGCATTATCCAGCAATCAGAGACAAAGCTGTTTGTAAGCCAGAATTAGCCTTTTTTCTTTTCTTCAGCAATTCCTTGATCCTTTTATTTACAGATTTGTTTTAAATGGAATTAGCTACAAGAAGAAGGAGAGTTAACTGTCTGGAGGGCGATGTCTCTTTAGAACTTCTTAATTTTTTTAAGTTTTAAATCTGGGACTTGGCCACCTTGGAGGAAGGTGGGCTAGGGAACTTTTACAGCCTTGGCGTGGGCCTTCCCCAGGTTGGGGAGTGGGGAGGGGGGTGGCAGGCAGACACCATGAGGGGCCAAGAGACAGGAGATTGTTGACTCACTCTTGATTCCTCCCCTTAGAGTCTCACCCTCCCATTTTTGCTGGTTCCTGCAAGGATGAGGCATGATGGCTCTTCAGAATCTCTCCATGAGGGGAAGGGGGCGTGTATGAATCAATATGGAAACCTTCCACAATGGTTATCAAGTTGGAAAAATGGCAGAGAGACTGCAGGCGGCTGCTTCTGAGGCCCCCAAAGCGGGGGGGGGGGGGTGCTGGGTGGTGGTGTGTGTGTGTGTGACTAGATGCTTATTGCATGTGTCACTTCTGGAAATGATTGTCGCCTTTTCAAAGGGGACAGCATTTCTCCAGCAGGCAGCCTCCTCTTAATCCCTTTACGTTGACCCTGGCATTTCTGTCCCTCATCCTCCTCTTGTTCAGACTGCATTTCTTATATGGATTCAGACAAGTGAGCATATTCTTAGCTTTTTCCCTAGGTTTATTTTAGTTTCCATTTAATCCCCCTTTTTTATGGCCTTGTTGAACCATGAGTTCGCTGAATTCACAGCCTGTGCTTACTCCTTAGTCCTTATCTGGATTCACAGAACATCTGTTCTAGCAGTTCTCAAACTCTCACTTTAAAAATGCTGACCCCTCATTATGGACAATTTAGAAGCAGGTTTGGGGTTCATTTTGAAAGTGAAATTTATATACTAAAAATAGGCCTGAGATTTTTTTTTTTTTTCCTGCTTTCTATGCTGTTTAATAGACAGGTATATAAGGTGCCAGGTATATTGAGAAACTCAGCTCCTGTTGCCTCCCCTAATCAAGCTGGAAACATGGGTAGAGCTCTGTGTTTCTTTGGGTGTTATTCCAATGTGGCCTCACCCGTTGAAGGCAGAAAAGCACGTAATGCGGCCGTTTCTCCTTTATCTTGTGAACCACTCAGACTTTGTCACTCTGCTGACATCAACTTCCCCAGCTGCCCAAGGAGAATTATGGAGGCAAAATGAAGATCTAGAAAATGCAATTACTAGTTAAAGGGAGATTTCCATACCAGGACTGGTTGCTGAGTCACAATTTCATTCCACACAGATACAATCCGTTTGTTTGTTTTTTTTAACCGTTTTATTGAGATGTGATTCACATACTATACAATTCACTCATTTAAAGTATACAGTTCAGGGGACACCTGGCTGGCTCAGTCAAAAGAGCATGTGCCTCTTGATCGTGGGGTTGTGAGTTCAAGCCCCACATGGGATGTAGAGATCACATAAATAAATTTTAAAAACTTTAAAAAAATACAGTTCAGTGGCTTTTAATATAGTCACATAATTGTGCTTCTGTCACCATAATAAACTTTAGAACATTTTTATTACCCTGAAAATAAACCTAGTGCCCCTAAACTATCACCCCCATCCCCCAATCCCTTGCCTTTTTCATATGAATTTTAGTATCAGTTTGTCCATTTCTGCAAAAAAAAGAAAGAAGGAAAGGAAAGGAAGGAAAAGGCAGCTAGGATTTGGTAGGAATTGCATTGAATCAGTTGATCAATTTGGAGGAGTATTGCCATCTTAACAATATTGAGTCTTCTGATCCATGAACATGGGATGTCCTTTCATTTATTTAGGTCTTCTTTAATTTCTTTCAACAGTGATTTGTTGTTTTCAGGGTATAAGTTTTTTACTTATTTCATGAAACTTACTGTGTGTGTGCATGCTATTCTTTTGGATGCTATCATAAGTGGAATTGTTTTCTTAGTTTCGTTTTTGGTTTGTTCATTGCAGGTATAGAGAAATACAGTTGATTTTCTGTATTGATCTTGTATACTGCAATCTTGGTGAACTTGTTCATTTGTTCAAATAGTGTTTTAGATTCCTTAGGATTTTCCACATACCAGATCATGTCATCTGCAAATAGAGGTAGTCTTACTTCTTCCTTTCTAACTTAGACAGCTTTTATTTCATTTTCTTCCCTAATTGCTTTGGCTAGAACCTCCAGTACAATGTTGAATAGAAGTGGCAAGGAGTGGTGGACATCTGTGTCTTATACCTGATATTAGGAGGGGAAAGGCATCCAGTCTTTCACCATTAAGTGTGAAATTAGCTGTGGGTTTTCATAAATATCTTTCATCAGGTTGAGAAAGTTCCTTTCTAACACTAGTTTGTGGAGTCCTTTTAACTTGAAAGGGTATTTAATTTTGTCAAGTGTTTTTTCTGCATCTATCGAGATAATCATGTACGTTTTGTCCATTATTCTGTTGATGTAAAGTATTACATTAATTGATTTTCAGATGCTAAGCCAACCTTTGTCAAATTTCATTGATTTTTTTTCAAGAACCAACTTTGGTTTTGTTCATTTTTTTTATTGTGTCTCTATTCGCTATTTGATTAATTTCCACACTGATCCTTATTCCTTCAGTTATCACCATCAGTTTTGAACTTTCTAGTTTTGTGTGTTCACAATAATCCTTCTGGTTTATTAGTAAAGAGAGAAAGAAAGCCTGTTGGGATTATACTTGTCTTGGGGCTCCCTGATCACCAGAACTATCTGATTAGTCAGCTCCGTGGCAAAAAGGATGTTATCACCAATTTAGTTATGCTCCTTGGCAGGTGAAAAAGGGAGTCCATAGATAATGATTCAACCCCATCTTGGCCAGTAGTCCCAAACGCTTCCCCCTCCTCAGTTTCTTATGAGAAATATGAGCACAGAGCAGGCTTTAGAAAGCGCAGAGCCTTCCAGCTCCAGCAGATCACAAGGACCATTCAGAATAGCTGGTCATAATGGAATATAACAGAAAAGTGAGCTCTGTCAGAAAACTCCATTCCTTGTCACTGTGGCCTGGACCTGGAATGGAAACAGGATACTCATTCTCCCCCCATCTTGACTTTTGAAAGGAAATAAAATGTTAACAATCCTAGATAGGAAAGAGGGGAGGGATCACATGCCATGGGCCTCTTTACTTACTTCCTTCTAGGTCTTTCTGTGAGGAATTTTTTGACCTTTGCTTATTTATTTATTAAAGATTTATTTATTTATTTGAGAGTGTGTGTGAGGGAGGGGCAGGAGAGGGAGAGAGACTCCCTGCTTAGTGCAGAGCCCGACGCGGGGCTCAAATGCAAGACCCTGAGATCATGACCTGAGTGGAAACCAAGAGTCAGACGCTTAACTGACAGTGTCACCCAGGCGCCCCTGCTTATTTATTTTTTTAAGTAAGCTTTTTACGGACGCATAACACATATTGAGAGAAATACACAAACTGAAAGTATAAAACTTGATGAATTTTTACCAAGTGAACACATCCATGTAATTAGCACCCTTATCAAGAAACAGACATTGCCAGAAACCTTGAGGCCCTCTTTGTACCCTCTCCTGATTACTACCCGCTACCCAAGGGTAACCATCTTGAATTCTATCCCAATAATTAGTTTAGGGCATTTTTGAAATTTATATAAATGGAATAATATATTAAAAACTCTTCTGCTTAACTTCTGTCTGATATCACGTTTGAAAGATTAATCCATATTTCTGCATGCAGCCAGAGTTTGTTTCCATTATTATGTAGTATCCCATATATACTCCAATATATTGATCAATTCTACTCATGATGGATGTTAGAGTTGTTTCTCATTTGGGGCTGCTTCCATCTCATTCAGGCCCTGGCCCAAATAGCTTGGCTATTATCTTCTCAGAAAGATATTCCCCCATCACCTTATCTAACTGTCCTTCTTTCCGAGCATATTCTATCACATGAGCTCATTTATTTTTCATCATAGCACCTAAAACATTGATTTTTTGTTTGTTTGTTTACGTGTTTATCTGACTCCTCCTTCTAGAATGTGCTGCAATGAACATTCTCGCACATGTTCCTTAGTGCACACACATCAGGTGTATCTTCCTGCATTGTATTCCTCCTTGTAAAAAAAACACTTGAGATGGCTTAGATCATTAGATGCATATTAGACTTCATGGTTAGCACAAAGTAAGAAAGGAGATTAAAAACTACTCTTGTGCCAGAAAGTGGATGATGAAAACATTGGCTGAAAGCTGGGAGCCAGAAATTGTGCCGAGCTCCTTTGTAGGCCCCACGGGAGGGAGTGACTATCGTGGACTTCTAAATACAGGTCATTGGAACCTCCCTGAGCCAGTGCACAGGGTTTGCGTAAGGATGAGGACGCTGTTGAAAGTGTGAAGATGAGGGCGTTGAAGGGTCAGGAAAAGCACCCGATGGCAGCACTGAAGCCCCATGAACAACCCGCTGTGCCCCCTGCATGCCGCCCTGTGCTCACCTCGAGCAAACTCGGTCCTCCTTCCGGTCATGTTGGAGGGCCAGTCCTCTCCCCAGGAATGCAGAAATCCTCAGGCCAGGCCATATGCTTTGTGCGACTCACCCAGTCCACTCCAGAGCATAGCTCAGTGGACTTGATCTGAATGAAGGATGCTTCTTTCTTGTCACGAGGGGGAGTTGGCCTGTGTGGAATTGTGTGCCTGCTGATCCTCAGGTTGGACTAGCTGATCCCTCATAGTCAACAGGTACTCTTAATGATTAATTTAAGTCCTTTTCCTTTCTTGGAACGCTTGTCCTTCCACACAAACCTGAGACCGAGGTACTTTATGCCTCAGCATGTTTAATGGTGCGACTCGGGGATCGGGCAGAGCTGCAGCCATTGTGGGCTTTGACTCTTTAGCTCTTATCCACGGGCTGTGGTTCGGAGGCTGTATTTCTCTGGGAATTCTCTAGGGGTATCACAACCAGGCAAGGTATATTAAAACTAGAAAGGCAAGGGCGCCTGGGTGGCTCAGTTGATTGAATGTCCAACTCTTGATTTCAGCTCTGGTCATGATCTCAGGGGTCGTGGGATTGAGCCCTGAGTTGGGCTCCCTGCTTGGTGAGGAGTCTGCTTGAAATTCTCTCCCTCCTTTCCCTCTGCCCCTCCCCCCGCTCATTCTCTCTTTCTAAAAATAAATACATAAATCTTAAAAAACAAAAAAAAGAAAAACCTAGAAAGGCACCATTGCTAGGCCTTGGAGTTAATGTCATTTATACATAACTTTCTTGTGGGTTGGAGGTGTTCAGAGCACTCCTTGCACCTAAATAGAGTCTGCATTGACACCTGGGTGGTGCCGTTGACTTCCAGACATCCAGCTCGTCATTGGTTGTGTAATAGCTAAAGATGACAGAAAGATGAACTGCAGTTGGATAAAATTGGATTAATTTCTTTTGTAGGATGGCTTCTACCATATACAGTGACATTTTTCACCCATCTGAGAAAATTTTTAGAAAGGGCTGTGATCTGGCAGCCTGGGCAAGGTCGTGATCACTGTTCATAAATGGAGATTCTTGCCCTTGTTCCTTTTGTGTAGAGTCAGACAATGAATAGGTAAATTCATCCAAAGTAAGAAAATGAGCAACTTGCTTGAAGGTCAGTCCAGGAGTTAGTAAGGTGGCTGGGTTTCGAACGTAGCCCTTCCATCTTTGCGCAGCAGGACTGTGCTCCTACCTCCTCTGCTGGCCACCAGTCTGTCCTCCAGCAGCGTATCCTCACTGTCTACGAGCCCTGTGTTCTCTCTGTCCCTTCTTACCCCACACCCTGCCCTTCAGTCAGCGTCCTGTGGGTTTAGGGCCCCAGTTTTTCCACTCCACAAGGCTGAGGCCTGGGCACCCCAGGATCTGCCCTGAGGCTCTTGGGCCCCCAGAGGAGATTGTCAAAAAGAAAGAGCCCAACGATTTCAACCATCTACCCTGAGCTCCACCTCTCCTTCAACGGAGAACAGGGGAGGAATGGCCAGAAACGGGTCTGGAGAATCCACATGTAGTGGAAGGGGTGTTCTGGTGTATAGTTTTCAGCATGTCTCTTAAAACTGCCCTTCCTCCTCCTCTCACCCGCCACTTCTTCCTGCCAGCTCTGAGAGTTTGCCGCGCTCCTGAGTACCCATCCCGCCTGCCTCAAAAGGAAGGGTTGAGAAAGTGGAATTAGAATCAGTTAATGTGCTATTTGTTAGCAGCTCTGGCAAAAATAACACAACTTAGCATTTAAGCAGGCAGGATGGCTCAGATGGAATTTGGGGATTATCCGTGGACTGAATTGGCTGGTGTTAAGTCATAATTAGCACGGGCTCTCTCTTCTTTTCAGTTAGTCTGGGCAATGCAGAACTGGCTAGTCGTGAAAAAAATAGTCAGTGTTACTGCTTGATTGGTAAGGTCCCAGTGGTATGTAAGCACAGCCAGAATATCAGGAAATGATTGCTGGGCAGACACACACACACACACACACACACACACACAGACACACACACTCGGGAGCGCTCTTCATTCAAAGCCTGTAGGCTCTATTGCTGAACTGAAGCGGAAATGATTGCTGGGCAGACACACACACACACACACACACACACACACACACACACACACACGGGAGCGCTCTTCATTCAAAGCCTGTAGGTTCTATTGCTGAATTGAAGCGGAAAGAAGAGTTCTGTCTTTTGAAAAACCCAGCTTCCGCTCCCTCAAGCTACTTGTTTAAAGAAGTTCTCTGCAAATCTCAGAATCTTGCTCTTCATTTACAGGCCAGCCTTTTCATCAAATTTTAGCCCTGCGAGGACAATGGGGACCATTCCACAGGTGGTCTCCTTACCTCTAGGGACGTCAGAGGTCTAGAAAGAGAACTAGGCCCTGTGCTTTTTCTGTCTTGCTCTTCATGGTCCTTTGATGCCCTACAAAAGTTGCCAGTGCTTCAAAGAGAACAAGTATTTATAATGATGTTGAAGACATTTTTTCTTTTTTTTGCCATTTTGGGGATGGGGGATCATCCCATCTCTTAAATTAAATGATGTTAGTGCTGGGAAGATGTAAATTTAGTCTTTATTTTAACATCTCCAAAACATCCAGGAGTTTTTTTTTTTTTTCAAACCAAGTTCATTTTTATTGTACCCTTCTTGCATTCTGTGAAAAAGAATCGAGTTTGGCTCAATTGGTGATAACACTCTCAGTTCTACTCATAGGATTCTAGAGCTTTTAGAACAGAGGAAAAAATGCTGCAAGTCTCTAAAACTGCTCAAAGCACCAAAAAAAAAAAAAAAAAAAGGCTATAAAGGATGGAGATTGGGGTTATGTGTTTGGATTTTGTTCTTGTTATTGTTGTTCTCTAATCTTGAGTAACATTGAGCATAAAAGCTTTTTCTTTTAATCCCAGATGTTAGAGCTTGGCCAAGTTCCATAAAATAGATTAATAAGGCAGCTAGCTCTTGCATGCCACCCCATAATAGAACATGTGTGTTTAATTAAGGTAGCTTGCCAAATTCTTACAGTATTCTAGAAATGATTCAAACTCTAAAATTGCTTCCAATCTCTTATTTCATCTAAAGGACAATATAAGATGTGGCAGTTAGCGAGAAGTAAGAAGCGGACTGCGTAGTAAGATGTCTACAATCTATACCCCCAGAATGGGTTCAGGAGAGAGCTTTATCAGTGAGATAACGTTAGTTTATAACAATCGCAATTTCTGCCTCTATAATAGGCATATATGTGATTTGGGCTTTTACTGTGGTTTTTATAGCTTTACTTCACTCTGCTGCCTGCTATTAAAATGCACAGTTAAAATGTATAAATTCCATAGATTACCATAGAAATAAGCAAATTAATTCAAGTGTCAGATGATACAGTATTTTTTGTGAGTTCTACATAAAAGTCTAGAAGCTTTTAATACTCAGTACTGTTCATCCTCATGTATTTCATATGATTTTGAAATTGCCATATATAAAATTTGATTTTCTTTACACAGCATTTTTTGTCCTCAAGAAAATACTGAAGAGGCCCTGTTGTTACTGCTGATCAGTGAATCGATGGTAAGTAGAATGTGCTT